TCATCGGCTTGTTGCTCTGCAATCCGCTCTAGACCTTTCACCTGCGCCCTTAACCCGTCCAATGAGGCCCTGGTGACGCAGCCAGACATGACGCCTACGATTTGCGATCCAGGCGTGCTGCTGTCGTTGCTCACACTCGATTCCTGAAGCCAAGGCCAAGCTCCGGGACCGGCCTGGATAGGCTTCGCTACAGTCGACTCGTCTCTATGGACAGCCAACATCGTCTTGGCGTTCCGCAACATCGACTTCCTCACGTCGAGCGCCTGTCGCCGAGATTCGATGCGCTTCCATTGCGAGGCGTTGGCATCTCGTAAGGCAAACGAAGATCGAGTTGCTGAGTCGCTTGTCTGCTGCAGAGCTTCGGCTAAAGCCCGTCTGGACCTCGATGCCACGTCTGCGTACCTATGAGCAGCCACGGGTGGCCCGGCTTCCTCCATCGCATGTTCAGCGCCTGCCTGTAACGTGTCTTCTGCACCCACGAATGGATCCGCAAATGTTGACGCTGATGCCAGGACTTTCGAAGGACCCGACACAGACGCCAAGGCCAGTCTGTTTCTAGCCCTCACGTCCATCTCCCTACCCGGTTCACCACTTGCTGACCTTTTGCCCTGCGTATGCATCGTCTGACTAGACGCATATCGAAGGCCAAGCAGACCGCGTACCTGCTCAGCAATTGCATCCCTTGTCCTGCTCAAGCGTCTGACTTCATCTCGATGAGCCGATATCCTGGCAGGCAGACATCTGGTATGACAATAGAACTTGTTCTGTTGGGTGTAGCACTGCGAGCAGAGCATCTCTTTCGTCGTCTGTGCTCGATTGGATGTCGATGTCAGCTGAAATCGCTGATGCGACACATCTCGCGAAGCAGCTCTGTGCGAGGAAAGTCGTTTGGCAGAAGCAGAAGCAGAGGTGGATGCAGAGGAGTCTTTGCTCTCTCCTGCGCTCGCAGCAATTCCTTGTATTAGGTGATGCTTTCGAGAATTTGCCGAGTCGCCGTTAGCCATCATGCCGACGTTGGGCCCGATGCCTCGTATCAGAACGACAATTGGCTGGCTACATTGAACGCGAAATTCTTCCTAGAGTAGGATGGGAGGCAATGGCTGCAGCGCTGCGAGGTGTTGGCGATGACGATGAAACGTGTAGACGAGGACCTTCAGGCGCTGCGATGCATTGTTCCATGTCAGCTAGCAGAGGTATGATGGATGACACTTTGAAAGCGTGTATGTTTTAAGGAGGGTGCTCGTGGTGAGGGGTGAAGGTGATGTATCGCAGCGCAGCTGCTGAGCAAGGTCTCCACATGCAGCATCAAAATCACCGTACCGATTCGAGCGTGTGTGTGGTCGTGTCCAACGGCTCACGTGACCAAAATCCGCGAACATCCAGGCTGAAAGAATCAAAATCATGCACCGGCAGCTGGCGGCGCTGATTTCAACTCATTACTGAGCAAGCTCCGATCAAATTGCGGTGCATCGACAAAGAGTACATTTGATTGATACAATACAGACCTGATAGCCGGCATGCGATGGGTGACGTGTGGGGCGTGTGCCGACGTGGAAAACAGGTGCGCGTGCATGACAAAACGAGGATGGTGCGGCGCATTGTCGAACGAAGAATTGGGCGATGCTGTCCGACATCCGTTTCCGTTGACTTTTGGGAAGGTTGGGTGCGCACAAGACCGCACAGACTTTTAGTCGTCGGCTCTTTCCGTCCGGCGTCCCTCCTCGTTCCCCTTTCCTGCAGCTTGATCCGTCTCGAGCCATCCGGCTAGGTCGGGCGGGATTTCCTGCATCTGCACACTAGGCGCCCCATGCAGATATCTCAGCTGTTCCAAACAAGCTATCCTAATCTTCTCCAAGTTGGCCTTTGTATTCTGATTTTCCACTCTGGCCGCCTGAAGGGGCTCGTGGAGTTTGTGGGTCGGCTCAAAGAAGGCGTCGTAGGGAGTGGAAGGTAAGGTATCAGGTATGGAGACGTTGGTCAAGACGGATGTTTCGTACGCCCAACATCGCGCCACGTTGCGAATCGTGTAGCCTCCACCTCCCAAGACCAACAAGGGCAGTCCAAAAGATTTGACGAATCGAACGCATTCTCCGTGCGCAGATATGCTCAGATTGAAACAGCCTAGTCTATCCAATCCCAACGAATCAGCCCCGCATTGCAAGACGATGCTTTCGGGCCGAAAAGAGGTGATGCATGGCTCGATCACTGCTTTGAAAAGCGACACATAGGATGAATCGTCGATGCCGTCCTGAAGCGGGACATTGAGACAAAAGTGCTTGCCTAGGCCTACGCCGATCTCTGTGAGGGCTCCTGTGCAAGGAAAAAAATCGTTGCCGTACTTGTGAAAGGAGACGGTCAGAACTCGATTATTGTTGTAGAATGCTTCTTGAACGCCGTCTCCATGATGGATGTCGATGTCAATGTAGAGAACGCGTGGGTGATACCTGTAGTCACGAGTTGCATGAGAACGGTCAGAACGTCAGCCATTCAGCGCACTCGCATACATGCACCGCTCACTGACCTCAATAGCTCCTGTATTCCCAACACGATATCATTGACGTAACAAAACCCGCTCGCCTCGTTCTTCTTTGCGTGGTGTAGTCCGCCGCTCCAGTTGATGGCAATGTCTGCAGTTCCTGATGTCAGCTTGCGAGCCCCTGCTAAGCTCGCGCCAGCATACGACCTGCAAAAATCGTACATTCCATCGAAAACCGGACAATCGTCTGCAAAATTGAAGCGGGTGAATGAGGCTGAGAGGGGGGTTGTGGGTGTGGTCCTGGTCGCAAGAGGGATGAAGGGAGAGCGAGCAGGGCTACATGGGTCAGCCAGTCGTGTGCAGGCCACAAATCCAACTCACTTGGACAGAAAGTCGATGAAGTCGGAATCGTGAAACCATTCCAATTCTTCCCTCGTGGCCATGCGAGGGCTATAACACTCCATGCGATCGTGTAGGCCATATCCCAGTACCAATCTGTTCGTCAAAGTCAAGCGAGCAGGTTTCATGGGATGCCGTTCGCCGTAGTGATATCTAAACGATTGAGAACGGCATGGGCAGGGTTCGTCAGACCATCTCAAAGGGAGCGATGCACGATGACAGTGCTGGCAGGACTGCGTCTTGCCAGGGGGGATAGTCTCTAAGAGCATGTTGTTATCCAAGCACGTTGTTCCGCAACAAGCAGGGCTCAGAAACTTGGGGCCCATGAGCTGGCGGACCGTCACCTCTCCGCTCTCGTCTTTCCTACTATTCTGTGTCACATCCGTCTACAGACCAGCGCCCTGATACCCCGAACAGAATATCTCAGGATCTTGAGTGCTTGCCGTGCCCCACGCTTCCGGTATGTTTCCTCGCATCCCCAACATCTTCCTCCTGGCATCTTCTGCCTGCTAGGCGCACCCCCGCGTGCATCACTCAGCCTTTCCGTGACTGGCGGGCCTTCCCTCTCTGGGCCCAAATTCTCTACCTTTCCCACACAGTCTCATTGGCTGCTGCTCCATGCATACCTTACTCACTCTCCCACGCCCTTTGGAAAAAAATAAGCCACCCTTTCCACCGCATGAGGTTGCACATGCGTCGAGTCGGTCACAAAAGCCGGAGCGGAAGGGGCCTTGTCAGGATCCAAGTAGAATGGAGAGTCCATGTAGGGTGAGATGTAAGAGGAAGATGCGGTGCTAGAGTGGTGCGCATCTATAGAGCGGGAAGTGCCTCGCCCTAGTCGGGGAGTGTCGTACGAGAGGACTACCATGCTGAGAGGATGGTGGTAGATGACCCACCTCGAGCTGTGACGACAGAGAACGCCTAAAGGGCGCAATCGAGCGAGGAGTGGGAGATTTGAAGGATGCTGGTACGGGGAAATTGACTGAGTGGGTGTATGTATGTATGTGTGTATGGATGGATGGATGGT